TCTTATGACCTGTTAAGTGACTTGAGTGTGAAAATCTTTTGTGGCAAACATCACATTCATAAGGTTTTTCTCCAGTGTGTGTTCTCTTATGACCTGTTAAGTGACTTGAGTGTGAAAATCTTTTGTTGCAAACATCACATTCATAAGGTTTCTCTCCGGTGTGTGTTCTCTTATGAACCGCTAAGTGACTTGAGCGTGAAAATCGTTTGTTGCAAACATCACATTCATAAGGTTTGTCTCCAATGTGTGTGAGATTATGTCTAGTTAGGGTGCTTGTGTCAAAAAATCTTTTGCTGCAAACATCACATTCATAAGGTTTCTCTCCAGTGTGTGTTCTCTTATGAACCTCTAAGTGACTTGAGTGTGAAAATCTTTTGTTGCAAACATCACATTCATAAGGTTTGTCTCCAGTGTGTGTTCTCTTATGAACCGCTAAGTGACATGAGTGGAAAAATCGTTTGTTGCAAACATCACATTCATAAGGTTTTTCTCCAGTGTGTGTTCTCTTATGAACCGCTAAGGTGCTTGATTGCGAAAATCTTTTGTTGCAAACATCACATTCATAAGGTTTGTCTCCAGTGTGTGTTCTCTTATGTACAGTTAAGTTGCCCAACCATGAAAATCTCTTCTTACAAACATCACATTCATAAGGTTTATCTCCAGTATGTGTTTTTTTATGACGAGCTAAGTGGCTCGCTTGTGAAAATCTTTTTTTGCAAACTTCGCATTCATAAGGTTTGTCTCCAGTGTGTGTTCTCTCATGTCTAGTTAATGAGCCTGACTGGGAAAATCTTTTATTGCAAACATCGCATTCATAAGGTTTGTCTCCAGTATGTCTTCTTTTAGTTTTACGTCTCACCAAATTTCCTCCCGTAGAAAATACCTTCTTAGAAACCTCGCATTTCCTAGACATGATTTCAGCTTTTGATCTTTTCCCCATCAGAAAAATATCACCCAACTGTTCCCTCGAGTCGTTCTTTATTAAATCTTTATAATACTTCGGTTCTTACAGAATTTCTGATCATAAAAATGAGAATATTCACAGACACAGTTTGCAAACAATACGAGTATCAAAATATGGCGCCCAGAAAGAATTCATATGGTGTTTCCACTTCACAAAAGCGAAATTTCGCGACAGATACCGGAGAATAAAAGCAAAAACATAATCGAAAAATTAAATTAACCCACCCTCCTAGGAAGAGATGGACTCTTTTGAATAGAGGAAACTGATGCATCTTTCTCGCAGCAATTTGTTTTGCCAAACCAATCAGTGTTTCATGTTTTATATTTCACTATTGTGGAAGCCATGTTTGCGCTAGATGGTAACTCTTATATAACAAAATGGCTGATAGTGATGTAGTTGAAAAATACAGGGAGAAATTCGACGTTTCGAGCGAATTTCTTTCGTCGGGAAGTTAGTTCTTCGTCGAGAAGTTTGCCTACTAACTCCCAGACGAAGGGCCTTCGCTCGAAACGTCGAATTTCCCTTGTATTTTCCACGCACTTCCATTCCTATCAACCAAGTTTTGCTAATATTGCCAGTAATTATAGGAACTACGATTATAGCAACTATAAACGGAAGGTGAAATATTTTATGGGATACGATAAAGGAGAGAGATTGAAAATGAGTAGGAAAATCAATCTTGTACACAGAGTATGCCCGTTCGCAGGTTAGGTGCTGGGCTTGACTCTGGGTATGAGATTGTAGGAAAATATTATAAAATTGGGGTAGCCCCTTGTCAATAATTTTCAGTTTGAGGCGTGACTGGACAGTTTTTTTATGTATGACTGGACAGTTGCTGTAGCACAGCGCAGTAAATTTGCATGTTAATTAAGGTTCAGTATATTTGAAAATATGGCTGTATATATTACGAAAGTCACCGAACTGTGGAATCGCATCAAAAATTCGTATATCGGCCACTCCCACAAACGTCTACGACCACGCCTACATAGTTTTGCATGTTTACAATTCCAATTTTGAACAGCCACTCAGGTTCTTGGTAACAATTACAATTGAACGCCGATTGGCTGTTTAAAATTAGAATTGTAAACATGCAAAACTATGTAGGCGCGGTCGTAGACGTTTGTGGGAGTGGTCAATATACGAATTTTTGATGCGATTCCACAGTTCGGTGACTTTCGTAATATAACAATCTCATTCTCGACATGTTTACACATTTAATTAACCATGATATTAATATTTAACTCAAGCATTCTTGAGTATTTTCTAGTGAGCCCACAAATCAATATTCAAGAAATCGACACTCGCTGACAGTAGAAGTTCCTCTAATCGCTATTCGAAAACCAGAAAATGCATGGACAACAAGGGTGCAAGACAGCACCAGGTGAGGTGTGTACCCCAGTGAGCCACATGAACCCCCACGGGAGACCCGCTGGCATTGGCAACAAATACTTTTTTATTTTGAAAACCAACTGCACAATATAATAATACAAATTTTTGGTCACATTAATTATTACCCAGTGGTGTGACATGGTATACATGCAGGCCGACTGAACTACATTTTCTAATTTCATAATTCGATATTTTCGTTCGAAATCGATATATATTGATTTTTCCATATCGCAACAGCACCCAAAATATTTTCAATTTATCTTGCCCAGCTAGTGGGGCAGCACATTGTCATGCATACTCAAATGATCTTCAAGTTCAGTGGCAATTTCAAACTCTGCATCGCAGACACAACAGACATAACCAATACCAGTTGCTTCTCTTGCTTCTAATTCCTTACAGACATCACATTGGTAGGACGTACCATGGTCTTTGGCCTTGTGCTGATATAAACTTTCAATATCAGGGAACTGTTTGTTGCATTTGTCACAGTCAAAATGATCATCACTCAGTGTCTCATTAGCATGTCCTTGACCTTAAATAATGTCTTTGCCACAGGTGTGGCACAATAATAAGCCATCTCTCAAGTGTGATCTCCAGTCATGTTTGAGACTTTGTCATTTTCTGAATGTTTTCTTGCAGTTATCACACTCAAAATTCTGATTTCTCTTCTGTGCTGATATTTTATGTTGTGTTAACTTGTGTGATTCTGAAAATATCTTGTTGCAAATGTCACATTTGTAAGGTTTGTCTCCAGTGTGTGTTCTCTTGTGTACAGTTAAGACATGTGACCCGAAAATCTTTTGTTGCAAACATCACATTCACAAGGTTTGTCTCCAGTGTGTGTTCTTTCATGTAAAGCCAAGGTGTCTGATCGGGAAAATCTTTTGTTGCAAACATCACATTCATAAGGTTCCTCTCCAATGTGCGTTTTTTTATGTCTAGCTGAGCTGGATGAATGTGAAAATCTTTTGTTGCAAACTTCACATTCATAAGGTTTCTCTCCAATGTGTGTTCTTTTATGAGCCGCTAAGTAACTTGAGTGTGAAAATCGTTTGTTGCAAACATCACATTCATAAGGTTTGTCTCCAGTGTGTATTCTCTTATGAATCACTAAGTAACTTGAGTGTGAAAATCGTTTGTTGCAAACAGCGCATTCATAAGGTTTCTCTCCAGTGTGTGTTCTCTTATGGGTAGCTAAGTTGCTCAATTGTGAAAATCTTTTGTTGCAAACATCACATTCATAAGGTTTGTCTCCAGTGTGTGTTCTCTTATGGGTAGCTAAGTTGGTCGATTGTGAAAATCTTTTGTTGCAAACATCACATTCATAAGGTTTCTTTCCAGTGTGTGTTCTCTTATGAACCGCTAAGTAATTTGAGTGTGAAAATTTTTTGTTGCAAACATCGCATTCATAAGGTTTGTCTCCAGTGTGTGTTCTTTCATGTACAGCCAAGGCATCTGAGCGGGAAAATCTTTTGTTGCAAACATCACATTCATAAGGTTTATCTACAGTGTGTATTGTTCTTTCATGTAAAGCCAAGGTGTCTGGTCGGGAAAATCTTTTGTTACAAACATCACATTCATAAGGTTTCTCTCCAGTGTGTGTTCTCTTATGACATGCTAACTGGCTTGAATGTGAAAATCGTTTGTTGCAAACATTACATTCATAAGGTTTCTCTCCAGTGTGTGTTCTCTTATGACTTGCTAAGTAGCTTAAGTGCATAAATCTCTTGTTGCAAACATCACATTCATAAGGTTTCTCTCCAGTGTGTGTTCTTTTATGAACCGCTAACTTGTCTGATCGGAAAAATCTTTTGTTGCAAACATCACATTGAAAAGGTTTGTCTCCAGTGTGTATTCTCTTATGAACTGCTAAGTGGCTTGACCTTGAAAATCTTTTTTTACAAACATCACATTGAAAAGGTTTCTCTCCAGTGTGTGTTCTCTTATGAACTGCTAAGTTGCTTGAGCTTGAAAATCTTTTGTTACAAACATCACATTCATAAGGTTTCTCTCCAGTGTGTGTTCTCGTATGAGCCACCAATTCGTCTGATCGTAAAAATCTCTTGTTACAAACATCACATTCATAAGGTTTGTCTTCACTGTGTGTTCTTTTATGTCTTAGCAAAGAGCTTCTGTGTGAAAATACCTTGTTACAAACATCACATTTCCTAGACATGGTTTCAGGCTTTCTTCAGCTTTTGATCTTTCCCACGTATGCTCAGACGCGCGCTGAAATTTCGATTAAAAATATCACCCAACCGTTCCCTCGAGTCTGTCTTTATTGAATCTTGATGATACTTTGGTTCTTACACAATTTCTGATCAGAAAAATGAGAATATTCAGAGACACAGTTTGCAAACAACACGAGTAATCAAAATATGGCGCCCAAAAAGAATTCATGTGGTGTTTCCACTTTACAAAAATTATCGATGGCGAGATTTCGCAACAGATACAAACATACAGTACTGTAATGAATGGAGAATAAAAGCAAAAACACAAACGAAAAATTAAATTAACCCACCCTCATGGTACAGGATGGAGTCTTTTGAGCAGAGGAAACGGATACATCTTTCTCGCAGCGATTTGTTTTGCCAAACCAATCAGTGTTTCATGTTTTATATTTCACTATTGTGGAAGCCATGTTTGCGCTAGATGGTAACTCTTATATAACAAAATGGCTGATAGTGATGTATTTTGAAATACAGGGAGAAATTCGAACTTCCCGACGAAAGAACTTCGCTTGAAACGTAGTTCTTCGTCGAGAAGTTTGCCAACTAACTCCCAGACGAAGGAACTTCGCTCGAAACGTCGAATTTCCCTTGTATTTTCCACGCACTTCCATTCCTATCAACCAAGTTTTGCTATTATTGCCAGTAATTATAGGAACTACAATTATAGCAACTATAAACGGAAGGTGAAATATTTTATGGGATACGATAAAGGAGAGAGATTGAAAATGAGTAGGAAAATCAATCTTGTACCCAGAGTATGCCTGTTCGCAGGTTAGGTGCTGGGCATGACTCTGGGTATGAGATTGTAGGAAAATATTATAAAATTGGGGTAGCCCCTTGTCAATAATTTTCAGTTTGAGGCGGCATAAAAAAACTGGACAGTTTTTTTATGTATGACTGGACAGTTGCTGTAGCACAGTGCAGTAAATTTGCTTGTTAATTAAGGTACAGTATATTTGAAAATATGGCTGTATATACTGCGGATTCAGGTCACAGAGTAGAGACATATCTTTTGTTGCAAACATCACATTCACAAGGTTTGTCTCCAGTGTGTGTTCTTTCATGTAAAGTCAAGATGTCTGATCGGGAAAATCATTTGTTGCAAACATCACATTCATAAGGTTTCTCTTCAGTGTGCATTTTTTTATGTCTAGCTAAGCTGGCTGAATGCGAAAATCTTTTGTTGCAAACATCACATTCATAAGGTTTCTCTCCAATGTGTGTTCTTTTATGAACCGCTAACACGTCTGATCGCAAAAATCTTTTGTTGCAAACATCACATTCATAAGGTTTGTCTCCAGTGTGTGTTCTCTTATGAACCACTAAGTGGCTTGAATGCAAAAATCGTTTCTTGCAAACATTGCATTCATAAGGTTTCTCTCCAGTGTGTGTTCTCTTATGGGTAGCTAAGCTGGTCAATTGTGAAAATCTTTTGCTGCAAACATCACATTCATAAGGTTTGTCTCCAGTGTGTGTTCTCTTATGGGTAGCTAAGTTGGTCGATTGTGAAAATCTTTTCTTGCAAACATCACATTCATAAGGTTTCTTTCCAGTGTGTGTTCTCTTATGAACCGCTAAGTAATTTGAGTGTGAAAATTGTTTGTTGCAAACATCGCATTCATAAGGTTTGTCTCCAGTGTGTGTTCTTTCATGTACAGCCAAGGTGTCTGAGCGGGAAAATCTTTTTTTACAAACATCACATTCATAAGGTTTATCTGCAGTGTGTGTTCTTTCATGTAAAGCCAAGGTGTCTGATCGGGAAAATCTTTTGTTACAAACATCACATTCATAAGGTTTCTCTCCAATGTGTGTTCTCTTATGACGTGCTAACTGGCTTGAGTGTGAAAATCGTTTGTTGCAAACATCACATTCATAAGGTTTGGCTCCAGTGTGTGTTCTCTTATGACTTGCTAAGTAACTTAAGTGCAAAAATCTCTTGTTGCAAACATCGCATTCATAAGGTTTCTCTCCAGTGTGTGTTCTCTTATGAACCGCTAACTTGTCTGATCGGAAGAATCTTTTGTTGCAAACATCACATTGAAAAGGTTTGTCTCCAGTGTGTATTCTCTTATGAACTGCTAAGTGACTTGAGCTTGAAAATCGTTTTTTACAAACATCACATTCATAAGGTTTGGCTCCAGTGTGTGTTCTCTTATGAACTGCTAAGTGGCTTGAGCTTGAAAATCTTTTGTTGCAAACATCGCATTCATAAGGTTTCTCTCCAGTGTGTGTTCTCTTATGAGCCACCAATTCGTCTGATCGTAAAAATCTTTTGTTACAAACATCACATTCATAAGGTTTGTCTTCAGTGTGTGTTCTTTTATGTCTTAGCAAAGAGCTTCTGTGTGAAAATACCTTGTTACAAACATCACATTTCCTAGACATGGTTTCAGGCTTTCAGCTTTTGATCTTTCCCACGTATGCTCAGACGCGCACTGAAATTTCGATTAAAACTATCAGCCAACCGTTCCCTCGAGTCTGTCTTTATTAAATCTTGATGATACTTTGGTTCTTACACAATTTCTGATCATAAAAATGAGAATATTCAGAGATACAGTTCGCAAACAACACGTGTATGAAAATATGGCGCCGAGAAAGAATTCATGTGGTGTTTCCACTTTACAAAAACAAAAATTATCGATGGCGAGATTTCGCAACAGATACAAACATACAGTACTGTAATGAATGGAGAATAAAAGCAAAAACACAAACGAAAAATTAAATTAACCCACCCTCATGGTACAGGATGGAGTCTTTCGAGCAGAGGAAACGGATACATCTTTCTCGCAGCGATTTGTTTTGCCAAACCAATCAGTGTTTCATGTTTTATACCGCCATTTGCAATTGAGCCACTCAATTGCGCGTGCACCGTACATTTTTTCGAGTTGTTTTAGCCTTGAAATTAACATGTAACTATGGGCGGAGCGACGTGTTACTAAGGAGGCTAAAAATGTTTCTTTACCTACTATAATGCATGAGTCAATTCCTGGAGTAACCATCCCCCTCCCCCGGGACACCCCCGGGAATTTGCCCGATAGACAGTTCACGGGGTCGGGAATTTGCCTTTCATATATGTGCACGGGGGCCGGGTATTGGAGGACCCCGGGGATTTGACAAATGGTTGACCAAAATCCCACCCACAAATTTTAAGGCAGCAAAACCTAGTTTCAGGCACGCATGTGGGCGCGCTGATCGTATTTTGCGCTCTCGTGGTAAGGTGGCATGAAATTTATTGTAAGAATAAGCGAAAATTATACCCTGTGCCATGCAAATTTAAATACAACTATTAAAGGTTTATGTTTTATAATATTCCATTGCAGATTAATACTATAATGTTATTAAATGACTATGATTATATGCCATTAAAAGTTTAATTAACTTTTACAGTCGATTTCACGAAACTTTGACCACAAATTTTCCGAACTTCGTTGCGAAGTTCACAAGATTGTTTTACTTCACGGACCAATCAGGCACTTTGTTTACAGATTGGCTTGTGAATTCTAATATGGCTTCCGAACTTCGCAACGACTTGCGTTCGGAACAGGCCCGGAGCTGGCTCTGATTGTTTGGGGGGGCACTCCCCAAACAGAAACGATAAAGTGGGAATGGAATTTTGCCGAACGGGTGGTGCGATCTCGAGGGACTCTCACTTGTACGTAGGTACTGTACATCATAAAAATGTTTGAGCTTCTGCCGAAACAAGGGGACCGTATAGATAATGGCAAACTGGGAATAAGTAAAAACAAACTGTTGAAAGTGAAGTGTTCACAAAAAATACACACGACAATAATAACAATATACAATAGCCTCATTTATTGATAATATCAATCAGTTAAGTGCTATCATAATGCAAAACATGCACGACCTGTCAAATTACAACGACAATGCTCTTGGTTTCAAGTTCCAAGCTTTGTAAAAATCGTCAAAGGTAATGTCATTTATCAGAACTTCGCTTTCAAAACTTAGATAAGCTAGATTTGCTTCTCTTTCTGTTTTCATCGACCTCCGCTGAGGGGAATCAACTCTTGTAAGGGATGAAAAAACACATTCAACCCTCGTTGATGTGAAACAGCAGTGATAGCTACTTTGTACAACGAAGATAGTACAGGAGCTCCCTTCTGGTGTTCCTTTATGACAATGTTAGCGACCTCGCTCAAATCAACTTTGTCAGCTGCATTCTTGGGCCATTCTTTGTCTTTAAAAACACGAGAAAAAATTCGGCACTCAGCTTCTAAATCTTCGCGTGATAATTTTCCTTTTTGATAGAAATCTCTTATCACTGGAATATTCACCGCGTACTCAAATAAGGGTATGAGAGCATCATAGTCAAGATAATTATCTGACGACGGCGATAAGGCCAGCATGGCTTCCCATAGTGCGATGTTTTCTTCAGAAAATCTTCGGAGGAATTCCGCATCCAGCAAATCTAAGCACTCGACAAAAATTTGACAGTTGGTGCGACTGTTGTTTGCGCTCGGGATACGGTCAGTTATTAAAAAATCATCAAAACGAGAGGGAACAGCAGTATTTCTTGTAGGTCTGCGTTGCACTTGCACGCCGTCGGTTGACGTGATCCTCACACTTTCTAAGAAATCATCAACCATCTTTTTAACTTTCTCATTCGAAGTATTATTTTCGCGTTTCGATTTGATGTCGTCTTTGACGGCGTTGACCACGTGCAATGCTGAAATAAGATTTTCGTCCGGGGATTGTAATTGTTTAACAACAATATCAATAGGTTTCAACACATCCATCAACATACAAGTTATGAAGACAAACACGTGGTCTTCATTATCTTCCATTAGGCTAAGGAGCCCTGTTGCCTGTGCTCGATCTTCACCAGATAACTTCTTATTTTTTGATGCCACCATAAGCGCTTGGATCAAATCGCCATAATTTTTGTGCACATGGCTGGTACTTTCAAAGTGATCAGACCATCGCGTCTCAATAAGCCGTTTCAATGCAGTGCCGTTATACGATTCTAACACAGCTGACTTCTTAAAGAACTTGTACAGGGCTGCTGTAGTATCAAAATATTCCTTTACTTCGTCAAGATTTTGCATGAGAAAGCTGACAACCAGGTGGATTTTGTGGAGAAAGCAGTGTACATATAACACATTCCGATCGCAAAAATCACTAATTAACCTCTGCAAGCCGCCGTAGTCGCCTGACATCACGCTTGCCCCATCGAAGGATTGTGACACAAGGCCGTCAACTGAAATGTTAAATTGTACCAAAGCTTCTTTGATGAATTTGAAAATACCTTTAGCTGAGCGATCATCGATTCCCTTGACGTTAATACATCGTTCCTTAACATTCCCGTCCGACGATAAATACCAACAAACGATACCTTGAATCTCTTTCCTGTTCTTGTCAGTTGTGCCATCTGCCATGATTGTGAACAGTTCTGCCTTTCGCACGTCTTCGGCGATTTTGGTCTTCACTAAGGAAGCTATGACTTCGATGACTTCATTCTGTATGTCATGGGAAGTGTACTTAGCGTTTTTTGGAAGATTCTTGTGAATTTTCCTCCATTTTTCTTCCAGCGGAAACAGAAGTTGAGAAAAAGCTCTTAAAAACAAGCCATCTCCTGTGTCAATATCGGATTCATCAGAACCACGGAACGCGAGACCATTCGCACATAAAAATCTTGAAACGTTAAAAACAGCAAATAACCATTGCTTCTGATCATTATTTAATGATACAACAGATGCTGTTACGGGGCAGCCACGTGCATTTCGCATTTTCGCTTCTTCGTAAGCCTGTGTTGCTTTCGAATGATCAATCGAGGATTGGTGTTGCTGGAATCCCTTTGCCTTGTCCTTAGCGTGTTTCCAGTCGCGATAGCCACTTTTAGTTAATACGGTCTCCGTTGGATTAGGCGAATATACTCTACACTGGAAGCAGAAACAAGCGTCCAAATCCGTGTTGTATTCCAACCACTTATATTCGCCAT